GGGGGGGGGGGGGGGGGGCAGAAAGATTGTAAGAGCCAGAGGCGGTGAATGACCATAAGGAAACAGTTTTCCAGATAGCTTTTCAGTTACTTATAACCTTACAGCAATGGTGGCAGCATGCACAAATCCCATGCAAGCTCAAACCAGGCAAAATCCCAGCATAGATATGGGGAAGTGGGTAAGAAACCCCAACTCAACCTAAAGAAATTTTGACAACTGAAGGCTCCTGTGAATGTGAGAGACAGTGTCTTTAACGGATGGAACTCTTGGTAGGTTAACCAGTAGATGGAACTCTTGGTAGGTTAACCAGTGGATGGAACTCTTGGTAGGTTAACCAGTGGATGGAACTCTTAGTAGGTTAACCAGTGGATGGATCCACACTGAAGGACATCTAGGGACACAAATTTAATTCCATAGGACTTAACATATATGACAGAATCCATGAAGTCCTGTGGTGGCCTGTGGGGGAAGAGCAGATAAGATCGGAGTCCAAACATTATTAAGATATATTACATGAAATACACAAAAATTATATGATAGAGTGCATTCAATTGGACAGGAGTCAATAAGGGGTGGTACAGCCAGGGGAGGGGATTGAAATACCATCAAATTATAGTGTATGAAAGTCACAAAAATTCAGTTTTAAAATGTTAAAAATAATAATGGTAAGCATTTTTATAATGTAAAAAAAATGTAAAAAAAAATGTTCACTGCCCAGGTCATACTTCAGAAGATTCTAGAAGTATAGGGAGAAGAGGAGCTAGATCTGCAGTGATACTATCCAGTGAGATAATTCCTGTAAAACTCATTTATCAACATGAGTTAGAGACACAGGAGAGGCAGTAAAGATGACGATGGCCTGGGAGCAAATGCTCACATGCTCCACTTATGAGGTCAACAAGTTCATTTCTTTTGTCTGTTTCCTCATTTCTAATTTGGGCTTGGATCAATCAAAGTTCTTCAGAGCAATAGAAATTTACTAGGTTCGCTTATGTAGTCAAAAAAAGGACAGTCCAACAGTGGACGTCTATAGACTCGAGACCTGGGAAAAGCCACCAAGAACCTGAAAGTCTCAGAAACAGGAGAGACCGTGTTGTAGTCCATCTGGAGACTAAAGACCTGGAAGACCGCTGTAGAGTCTCTGGTGCAAATTCATGTTCACAAGCTGAATCTGGAGTCTGATGTCCTTGGGTGACCACAGCGAAATACGAAAGTGTGCACACCTGTGAGCCCCGCCCTCTGCCTTTGCTCCAGCCAGCCTCAGCCTATCCAATGGTGCTGCCATAGTCAGTGTGGATTTTCTCCTTTCAGTTCACTGAGCCACATGCTAATCATCTCTGGAAACACCCTGCACACCCTAGCACACACAGACGTGTGCTCTTACAATTTTCCAGGCATTTCTCAGTGCAGTCAAGTTAATAACCAAGATTAACCATCATGGGCATCATTAGTATGGTTTCTACATACTGTTTGAGAATTAAGAAGTAGGAAGTATTTAGAATATTACCTGCTACACAATAAATACTTTAATATAGGCTATTATTATTACTAATCACAATTCTTTCAATCCTTCCAGGAGGTCATACACATTTGCTAAGCATACAGGGGACTGTGAAAGTGGTAAGGGAACCCTTCTTTTGTCAGCTGCCCCATTAAGAAGGATTAGTGAGTCCCACTCTACATGATAACAGATGGGGTTGATGAATACCCCCAAGCTCTCACCACAGGATGGAGGGGCTTTGCTGACAGATAACTGAGGACAAGTACTAGAAGACTGGTTCAGACAAGTAAAAGGTGAAAGTGAGCAGATCACAAAGTCTCCAAATGTTCCTCAGCCTTTCTAGGAGTAAAAATCATTTGTGAAAGCAGAATCATCTTTCTGAAAACCTCTACTTTCCACCTGGTGGTTAATGGGACTTTGTAGGGATAAGAACAAAAAATGTGGCTGGAGAGATAGCTTAGAGGTTAAGAGCCCTGGCTGCTTTTATGGAGGACCCAAGTTTAGTTCCTACTACCCATATGACAAATAACAACCATCTGTAACTCCAGTTCTAGGGGATCCAACACCTTCTTGTGGCCCCTGTGGGCACTGCATGCATGTGATACACATACACATACAGGTAAAACATTCATACTCATTAAAAAAAAAAAAAAAACTCAAAGCAAGAGGCCATAATGCCTGGTATGGTGGTACATGCTTGTAATCCCAGCACTCGGGAGGCAGAGGCATGTCAATTTCTGTGTGATCGAGGCCAGCCTGGGCTACAGGGGCTATATAGGGAGACTCAGAGAGAGAGAGAGAGAGAGAGAGAGAGAGAGAGAGGGAGAGGGAGAGGGAGAGAGAGAGAGAACTTTAAATTTTATTGGAACCAGGCAGTTTTGTTGTATACCTATTAAAGTGTCACTTTTTTTTTTTTTCTTTGTCTTTTTGAGATGGACTCCTGTAGCTCTGACTGACTGGGCTGGAACTCACTATATAGACCAGGTTGGTCTTGATCTCACAGAGATCCAACTGCCTCTGCCTTCTGAGGAATTAGAGACGTGTCACCACACCCACTGAGTCACTTTTTTTAAGTTGTAGGGAAAAAAAAGGAGATTCTTTCAGGTGAAAGGAAACTCGTTATCTGTAGTGTTTTGAGGACTTTTCAGAGATCTGAACACCCAAAGCCAACAAAGAAAACCCACATAAGAAGAGACTTTGGTCCACAGGAAGTGTTTGCCTGTCCTCAAAATGGTGGGATAAATCTAGTGTCTGGCATGACCTGTTCTACTCAGGAAGGTGTAGTTTACAAATATCCCACTGTAGTTGCCAGTCAGGGTCAAGTAAAGTCTACTCTTCCCACATTCTAGGTACAAGACCCAAGTATTTTCAGATTGATCTCTGAGTACTAATAGTTTCAGCCCTGGTGGAAACTTTAATTATGTACAAAAGGCCCAGATTCCCCAGTGTGTATAGTACTTAAGCTTCTAAGAAACATTTTCAGAGAGTTTTGGTAGTTTATGCATGTTATTAAAATTTATAAAAAGTAGTATTTTCTGATAGTCATCTTGGGGCACATGTGTAAGTGAAATTATTTTTTTTTAATTAGAATAAGCCAGGCATGGTGGCGCACACCTGTAGTCCCAGCACTTGGAAGGCAGAGGCAGGCGGATCTCTGTGAATTCAAGGCCAGCCTGGTCTATAATAGTGAGTTCCAGGACAGCTGGCACTGCAGGGAGACCCTGCTTCAAAAAGACAATAAAAAAAATAAAATAAAATAAAATTAGAATAATTAACATAATCACATTGTATTTGAAAACCACTTTTTAAGAGCAACTTGCCTAGCCAATTCCTTCTAAGGGATAATTGAGGAGCAAAGAAAATTTTACGATGAACAGCTGTGAGCCCTGCCATTGTAAGTGCAGGAATACAGAGGCAGATCCTGGAGAAGAGTGCTTTAGTGGAGAGCCTCACTTTAGTGCAAGTAGCACTTGGCTGCTGTTAGCCTTAAGAGATCAACTGGAGAAATCACCATATTGGTGACTCAAAAAAGTGATTACTGAAGTGGCTAGGATGAAAGCATTTGAAATTGGTTTTCTGGACTTCTTGGGTCACAGTGAATGTGACGAGGTGGACCATTAATAGTTCTTCCTGAGAAATGTAACTATTTCAGGTCTTCTCTGTTTTGCCCCCCCCCACCAAAAAAATCCCTGTCTATAAAACATACCTGCTTCCCAAATCTGTACTCAGAATCACATGGGGAGTTTTTGTAGATGTAGCTTATTAAACCTAACATGTAGAGGTTCTGAATCCACCAAGTCTTGACTTCAAAATGACCTCAGGAGTTTTGTGCATTATCTTGTAAATTTTTCTTACACTTAAAACTGTTTTATTAACTCTCTCTCTCTCTCTTTCTCTCTCTCTCTCTCTCTCTCTCTCTCTCTCTCTCTTCTCTGAGAGGGGGGGTGAAAGTCGAGGTGGAACTTGAAGACAACTTGCAGAAGTCAGTTTTTGCCTTCTACCTTGTTGGTCCTGAGGATCAAACTCAGGTTGTAAGGCTTTGGCAGCTGGTGCCTTTACCCACTGAGCCATCTCGCTGACCCAAATGTTCTTTTAAAAAATATATATATATAAGGAGCCGGGTGTGGTGGCCCACACCTTTAGTACCAGCATTTGGGAGGCAGAGGCAAGCAGATCTCTGCGAGTTCAAGGCCAGCCTGGTTTACATAGTGTACATGGTGACTTCCAGGTCAACTGGAGCTACAGGGAGACCCTGTCTGAAAAAGACAACAAAGATAGATAGATAGATGATAGATAGATAGATAGATAGATAGATAGATAGATAGATAGATAGATAGATAGATCCAAAGTATAGACAGTATCAAAAATGGTAATAAACTACATTTGGAAGCAAGACATTTCATTTCCTACTGCCTCATTCTGTTCAGGCTGTTATCAGAAACCACTATAGATATTTCTCACTGTTCTAGAGACTGAAGAGTCTAGGATCCAGGCACAGGGAAACTGGTGTCTGATGAAGGCCAAGTTCCTGGTTCATAGATGGTTATCCTCTCACTGTGTCCTTTGGAAGGGACGACTCAGCTTTCAAAGGTCTTTTATAAGAACATTTAATCCCATTCATGAGGACTCCACATTTATAGCCCAATTACCACTTAAAGGCACATCTAATACCACCATGCTGGAGTTTAGAATCGCAACATTAAGAATTTGTTACAGCTATACTTGAATTTTTCTCTATCATACTCACTCAAAACCAGCTTTAACATATTAGTGTAGCAATTTCTTCAACAATATCAAGTAAATAATATCTACTTTTAATGATACTAAAGTGGTATAATTACTGGTGAATGACAATCTATGCATTTATGGGGATAGTTATTTAGGAATTAAAATGTTTTATGAGAACTTTTGCAAAGTAAAACTTTTAGGCAGATAGGTTTTGAGCTGCTATCCATAAACATTTCTATTGTTTCTAAATTAAGTTGTGCATTTTGAAGATCATGTATTGTAAATATGAAAGGACTTTAGTCTAAACATGATAAATTCTAGAATCAGACCTTATCAAGAAGATAGCTTTTCTGTACCTTCATATTTTTTTAAAAAATCTGATATTATGTGGCTATGAAAAAGAACCTATAGTGAATACATAATTTTAAAGGTCCCTTACATTGTCATTTCTTTATGGATAATTTTTTTTCTAGTGGTGTTTATCATAGAGTTTTTACTTCAGTCTACATTAAGAACATTACATTCAGTATATTATTTGTGTGTCTTTGTGTTTGACCAAAATAAATATTTAACATTACCCAAACAACAAAGAATACACTCCAGGATTGTCTGTCCTACTTCATTTTTTATAAAAATGCTGGTTGTGTACTGCTTGATTTTGCAACCCTCTAGGAGTGCCATCCACAATAAGAGGACAGTTAGTGTATTTTAAAAAAATAATGTGACAGCACCGCCTTGTGGGCATATAGCAAAGCATGTTGCTCAAAATCAGTATGTATAAAAATAAACTGATGCAGCTTTTTCTAAACAAAGGAAATATTTTATATGGTTCTATAACATATCTTGAGCCCAAAGAAATAAAAATATGGAATTAATAATGATCTTATAATCTTTTATTTCAAAATATTTGTGTGTTCCTTGTAGGGATTGAAACTGTTGAGAATTTTTTCTTTCATAAAGCCTACATTTTAACTGTCTTCATGTTTGATATTCTGCCTTTAGGACAGGGTAACCTTCAGGAGAATAATTGTAAAAAATAATGCCAAAAAGAGAAAGATGTACGAGAGCTTTATTGAGTCACTGCCATTCCTTAAGTCTTTGGAGGTAAGTATATGCTTAAATCTACTTTAAAGCTGTTTGGTTTGGAATAATTCATCCCACTGGAAAGTTTAACAAAAATTGGATGAGATGACTCAGTGGATACTTGCTGACTGAGCCTGGCAGCCCAAGTTTGATTTCTAGAACCTACATAAAGATGGAAAGAGAGAACCAGTTCCACAGAATTGTCCTCTGACTTCCACACGTGGCATGCATATACATAATGATAAAATTTTTTAAAAATCTTTTAATATTTTCCTATGGAAAGAATATATGGTGGCATTAGATTTTATGGCGATTTCTTTCACTACCCATAAGCGCATTTGTTTTGTTATTTGTAAATAACAGACTCTTACCTAGAGTCTATAGCTAATTTATAGGCGCCATTTATTTAATAGGCTTTAAAAAAAAATCATAAATGGGGACTGGAGAGATGGCTCAGTGGTTAAGAACAGTGGTTGTTCCTGCAGAAGACCCAGGTTCACATCCCAGTACCCACATGGCAGCTAACAACTGTCCATAACTCCAGTTCCATGGGATCTGACAGCATCTTTTGTCCTCCAACGGCATTGCACGACACGGGTGCACTTACCTACATGCAGGCAATACATACATACACATAAAATAGAAACAATAAATAAAATATTTTTTTAAAAAATCATAAATGTTAACATATGACAGAATGCAGGAAATCTGGTAGAGGGGCTATGGGGGATACAGATAGGATGGGAGTCTAAATATGATTAACATGTATGAAATGCACAAAAATTCAATAAAAATATATATTAAGAAATCATAAATATTGCAAAGAACTGCTGGTTATACCGTCTTACACAGAAGAACTTCCTAAATACAAAAGGTCCTCCCTTGTCACCCCCTTCAATCTTCTTTACTGTTTGTTTCTGTTTCCATCTCTCTTAAAGTTGGCATTCCTCTGGCTTTTGTTTCTTCTCAGGCTACATACTCAGTTGGTATGTGAGCATTTGAAATACAAACTAAACATATTTCAGATCCCATAGACATAGTACTGTCTATATGCTGATACCTTCGTAAAATTGCATGACTGCCAACTGCCTGTTTAACATTGCTTGTTAGATATTACATATCTCAAACTGAACTGATACCCCAAACCTCCACCCCCTTGCTCTTCCTCATCTCAGAATGAAATACCATTCCTCCATTGTCCCAGCATAGAAATTTAGGAGTGAGGATGTACTTGACTTTCGTCTCATGATGGTCAGTGTTCTCTACTGTCTTGAGAATATATGCAAAATCTATTCATCTCCCATTAACTTCTCCAGTATCACCTTCTGCCATCATTACCTCTTGCCTGACTTAACCTCAGCCACCACAGAATCTTTTAAAGCCTGGGCCATGGTAGCCCTCTGATTATGACCCTCCCAGGACAGGATTTGGGAGAAGGCCCCTGAGGCACTCTGCTTGCAATGTTGTGTCCCCAGCCTGTACCTTCTGACCATGCTTCCAACTGTTTCACACTCTGCCTCAGATGCTTCCTTCTGTTGTGCAAGCATGCCAGCCCTCGCTTCAGACGTGTGTTACTTCATCTGCCTGGAGCAGCCTCCTACACAACTCTGTGCTCCTTCCCTTGCCTCCTTCCTTTCTTAGCCCAAGTGTTCTCAGGGAGACCAGCTGTTTCTTTTCTTTGAAGGCAGAAACGTAGGAGAGAGTTTTTAGCCCGAGAATTAGACTTGGCCATACTTTGTTGTTAAATCCAGTATTTTAGACATTTTATACAGCCTCGTATTTAAGATCTTTTGAGGGTGATTACAGAGGAGCATTTATATGTACCTATGATGTCATAAAATAGCAAGTGTCAATATAGTAGTTCTTTTTTACTGTCTCTGTTCAATTGCTGCTTTATGCCTGGAAGAATTTGGCCACATTATGGAATACACTGGCAGCTGATCTTCTCTAGAAGCTTCTCTCCTCAAATAGAAGTATTGGGTGGCAATCCAGTCAGAGGGAGGCAAGTGATTAAAGAATCAATCAGGAAGGGACTTGTGCAAATGAGAGATGTGCTCCTGCTAAGGGAACAGCTGTCATACTCCACCATAGTTTTACTGTTGCCATGTGGAAATTTGGGCTGAGAGTTGCTGAGTCTTCTGGCATTTTAAGAAAAACTAGAAATACAAATATTTCTATTTTAAAATTATAGCAGTTAATGTAACAAACACACACAGCTTAATTTATGTAACAATATAGGCTACCACTTTTTAACTTGTAAAAATGGGTAAGATTACCTATCCTCTGTTCATTTATACTATCACCTTTGTTTTTCTTTGAAGGTTTCTGAACGCCTGAAAGTGGTAGATGTGATCGGCACCAAAGTTTACAATGATGGAGAACAAATCATTGCTCAGGTATCATACCTACATGTAATTTGGTTTCAGCTTGCAGTCCAAAAAGCCTTTAGAAATCTTGTTCAACTTGGTTCCCATAATTAGTATGCAGTGATGGGTTAAATGAGTATTTTTATTTATTTATTTTGGTCTTTTTGAGACAGGTTCTCCCTGTAGCTCCAGCTGGTCTAGAACTCACTGTGTAGACCAGGCTGGTCTTGAACTCACAGAGATCTGCCTGCCTCTGCCTCCAAAGCACTGGGATTAAAGGCTTAAGTATTTTACTTCTACCAATTGACCAATTAAAAGTGGCTCTACAGGGGCTGGAGAGCTGGCTCAGCAGTTAAGAACGCTGACTGCTCTTGCAGAAGACCTGGATTCGAATCTCAGCACCCACATGGCAGCTAACAACTGTCCATAACTCCAGTTCCAGGGGACCCAAAGGCCTCTTCTGTCCTCTGTGGCCATTGGATAACACAGGTGCACTTACCTACACGCAGGCATAACACTCATACACATAAAATAAAAATAATTTAAAAAATTACAGCCAGTAAGATATTTGAATGTTTTGGTTTATATAGTTCACTCCTGATGAATATGTATTAAACCATTACCTGGCTTTCTGAGTAGTTTTACAGTATGTGACATGAAGTTCACATGTGTACTAGGAGTAAGATGTCATTCATAAGAGGGAAGAAAGGTGTCTCCCAAGAGATTAATAAGAACCCAAGTCCACTGGGAAGTGATTCAGAGTTTTGCATGATCAGTTCATGAGACCTCCCAAGGTTTCTTCCAGATAACAGTGACTAAGGGACACATTGCAGCATACACTGGATTGGCGCACAAGCATGATATATTAAATAAAAGCATTCTTTAACCCCTAATGCTTTTCTAAGATCCCACTAATACTACTTATCCCAGTTAGCTGGAGTTACTAGACAGTAGGATCTATAAAGACAGCTCAGGTTCACAGATAAAACAGGCAGACCATAGAACCTCATTTCCTAGTTACATGTTGAAGCTTTAAGCACAGAATTTGAATGGATTATTAATATTCTGTGATTTCATATCACAACATTCTACTGTATTGTGGTCTTTATTTGAATTATTGTCTCTTCCTTTATATGTGAAATAAGATTCAAGGTCTGTTTGTGAAAAAGACCAATGTTTAAGGTCAAATCTCAAATTAAGCCTCTCTTTCTCTCTGTCTCTGTATCTCTTTCCTACACACACATGGATTAGAGAAGTCAGGGATTAGGGAAAAGTAATCAAATTGGAGAACAACGTTAAACATCTAAACCAGTGAATAACAAAGTATAGAGCACTCTTCTCATACTTTTAAGTTCTGTGGCTGGTTGAACCCACGGTCTCCTATATGCTAAGCATATGTACCATTGAGCTATAAACCCAGGCTCCTTAACACTTTGGGACTTTCTCTTTTGAAGTAGGGATTACACAAAGTTTCACAAATAGTACCTAGAGTTCCTGTGTACTCTTCACCCAGTTTCTCTGAGCCTATCTTGCATCACTTTTGAACTGAATCAAAACTAGGAAATTGACATTGGCACAATCCACAGGCTTGACTCAGATTTCACTAGAGTGTTATGTATATTTGTAGTATATTTGCCTAGCAGTTGGTAGACCTATTGTGATGATAGCACTTAAAATTTTAGCATGAGGGTGAGGCATGGTGGCACATGTCTTTAATCCCAGTACTTAGGAGGCAGAGGCAGGTGGCTCTCAGTGATACTGAGGCCAGCTGGGGGTACAGGGAGACCCTGTCTCAAACAAAACAACAAAAAACTTTAGCATGAAGCTCTTGTAAAAACTTGATATTAAAATTAAAAAAGGGGTCCTAGGGATGCAGCTAAGAAGTAGACTGTGTTGTTAGTCTGCATGATGCCCTGGGTTTATTCCCCAGCACCAATTAAATAAGTATTAGATAAAATATGCTATATTTTGAGTAGATTATAGATACTTTTTACATACTGTTTTTAGCCATTTATAAATATTTATCCTATAGCATCAACATTTATTTTTGTTATATAATCTGTGGTTTTGCTTATTTAAGGTGTTAGAGATAAAAGCCAGGCCCCTGAGCATATTAATTATGATACAGTCTCATGCTAAGTTCTTTAACTTGTACTAAAGAGGTTTTAAAATACCTGTTTTTCCAGATTCATTTCGAGAGCTTAAAAAAGTGAAAGAAAAAAAAAAATCTTATCTTCCATAGCGTACTGTTTCAGGAGGACCATTAGAAATCAGAGTTCATGCAGAAACAAAAGAAATACTGGGTATGTAGGTAGAAATAGCACCAGATTTTTAGAAGTCTAGAAATCTTTTCAAAGCCTGGAGGTAGACTGTTAGTAGATTAACATTTCAGTTTGGAGCATGACTGCAGTAAAAATCCCAAAGCCCTTATCCGTTGCAGGTACTGTCTGCTGCTTTCAAGTTGATAAGTATCCTGGGTTACCATGCCAATGCTCAGTACTTGAGGATGACACAGGGTGCACATTAGTGCTTTTCAAGGAGCACAGAATGTCCCTCTGTCGTTAACTGGGGGGTGCTGCTGGGATACCAGAGAGGCTGACATTTCAACCCATGTGCACTGGGGGAAGATTCTTTTTTGTCTTTTTAAAAATTTTATTTTTTGCAAATTTCATACAATATATTTTGATCATATTTAGATCCTTTCCCATATCTGTAACCCCCCTTTCTATCCCCCACCCCACCAAATTTCTGTAACGTTTAGCATGAGGGCTAGGCGTGGTGGCACATTTCTTTAATACAATGCCCTGCGCTTCGGTGTGGGTTCATCCACTGGAGCCTGGTCAACCCATCAAAGGTCTCATCCTAGACTGAATCCCCCTCCCAGCAGTTATCAGTTGCCAGTAGTTCCTCAGATGGGGTTGGGGTTTCTTACTCATTTGGGGGAAAATTCTTATTCCAGGTCATTTCCCATATTTTCTTGGCTTTTAGCAGAAATTTTGAGGTAAAGAGTAATTACTTCAAGTAATTTTCAAATAAAAAAATAAAACTGTTACTGTGTAATCACCAGTCAAAACCTCTGAATATAGAAAAAGAAACAGCCTCTTCTTTCACAGCTACACTACCACCAGAATCAGGCTAATCTGGGGTTAGCCTGGCTTCAAGGGCACAATTACAGGATGGCTGTGGAGTTTGTATTTTACCCTTTGTTTTTGTTGTTTTCTTCTAATAGGGAGATTTGGCGGATTCTTTTTTCATCGTAGAATCTGGAGAAGTGAAAATTACTATGAAAAGAAAGGTAAACCATTCTTCAGCTCTAAATTCCTCATAATAGCAAGAAAAGAATGGATTTTCCTTTTTGATACTTATCTGGGTAATAGTTAATATTTTTAATTACCTTGTAGGGGAAATCAGAAGTGGAAGTGGAAGAGAACGGTGCAGTAGAAATCGCCCGATGTTCTCGGGGTCAGTACTTTGGAGAGCTTGCCCTGGTGACCAACAAACCGCGAGCAGCATCCGCACATGCCATTGGGACCGTCAAGTGTTTAGGTAGGAATCACAGTAGTGGTTGTTAGGCCTTCATATAGGTACTCAGATTGTATGCTCATTTTATCAGGTTCACACATGACAAGGTTTGGACTTAACTGCATTATATCAGTTTGGTTTATATTCATACACAAACACACACACACACACACACACACACACACATACACACACACACACACACACACACACACACACACAATCTTACACTCACACACAAACACACACACACACACACACACGCACTCTCCACTAGCATGCGGTATTTATCACCATCTAGTGGCACCAAATAGCAACTGCCACAGAAATTCAGGCTCAATGGAAAAAGGTGTTTTGTGTTTTCAGGACACACATACACACACACACACACACACACACACACACACACACATACACACACACACACACACACACACACACACACACAATCTTGAACTCCCAGTTAACAAGTCTTATATCCAGTCTGTCAAATAAATAACATGTGCTAAAATAGTATTTTTTGTGAAGTTCATTATGAAGCTCAGCTGGGGAAGTTGGGGGTGGGGGTGGCACTTTCACTCTAGCCCTGGGACACAGAGATTCAGGTGTGTCCAAGCATAATCAATTGCCCCCGCTGTGCCACCGTTTATTACTTTGTTCTACAAGAGGAGCTTGGCACAGATACCATCTTCAGTTATCTTCAGAGATTGCACATTGGAGAAATCAGTCACTTTGGAAATGAAAACTGTAATTCAGGAAATGGCAATATAAATGACATAAAGAACTGATTCTGTAGTAATTGTCATCTCCATGTTCTTCTCAGTTCAAAAAGATAAAACTTAGTTTTGCTGTTTTTAAATTTTGCAAGGATCCTTAGAATCAGTTCTTTACAGGAGTCATTTAAAAGGTTTTCAGTAATTGCAATAATAATAAAGTAGTAAACTTGGGTGAAAGAGACAATTAGAAACTGACAGGTGATTTCCCTCAGAGCTCTTAGATGTGATGTGAGAGTGCTCACTTTAATCTATAGTAATTGTATTTAGAGAAGTGGGAGAAATACAGGAAACAGAAAAATACAGGGGCAGCTAAGACTCAGCACATCATAACCACCCCAGTGATTCCACTATTGTAGCTCCTCTTCCTTTTTACTAATTTTTTATTTACAGGGTTTTTTTCTGGTTTTGGAATTTTCTTCTTTTTTAAAATTTATTTTTATTTTATGTGTATGAGTATTATGCCTGGATGTATGTAAGTGCACCCATGTCATGCCATATCCACAGATGCCAGAAGAGGGCTTTGGATCGCCTGTAACTGGAGTTATGAATGGTTGTTATCCACCATGTGGGTGCTAGGACCTGAACCCAGGTCCTCTGCAAGAACAGCCAGTGTTTTTAACTGCTGAGCCATTTCTCCAGCCCCCAGGAATCTTCTTAATACATCAGATTTTAACATTTTTATTTTGTAAATACATACTTGATAAATTTAGTTACTCCCTACTTGTATTTTGTGGGCTTTGGCTCCCGTTTGAGTGTGTGTGCATATGCACGCAATCATAAATGACTTTTCCAAACACAAGAGTTCTTCCTTAGAAATGGTTTTCCTTTAATTAGCATATGTTCACTGTACCTTTAAGGAATGGCCTTTTGTAGCATTTTCATTCGTGAACAGCATGTGCTGTGTGCATATTCACTGTCAGTACCCTCTCCTTCCTCACTCCATTAGACACTTCCTCTTTTCAAATAGACCCCCCTTCTGTTCTCATGTTTCTTAAAAAATTTAGATTCTACATATGAAAGAAAATATACAGTATTTGTCTGTTTGTTTCTATTTTACTTAACTTCATGATTCCCAGTTCTATTTATTCTTGTGCAAATGGTACAATTTGTTTCTCTTTATGGCTGAGTAACACTCCCTTGTGCAAATACATTTTCTTCAGCCATTCATCTACTGATGAACAAAAACCGATTCTGTAACTTGGTGCTGCAGTAAACATGGCATGTAGGTATCTCTGTTGTACACTGATTTTGATTCATTCAGATATATACCTAATGGTATAGCCGATCACATGATAGTTTTATTTTTATGTTTAGGTTGTGAGCCTGAGCCTTTAACAGCTAAGCCATCCCTCCAGCCTGATAGTGCTATTTTTAGTTTTCTGAGGAATCTGTATAGTGATTTCCTAGTGGCTACATTTTTTTTTATTCTTATCAAGAGTGTTTAAGAGTTTCATCCTGAAACTTTTGTTTCAGGGCCAACATTTGTTTTTCTTGATGATAGCCATTTTGACTGAGGTCAGATGGAAATCTCAATGTAGTGTTGACTTGGTTTCTTAGATGTCTGTTCATGTATTTATTGGCTATTTGTACTTTTAAAAAAAATATGTTTAAAAAGATTTTAGTTATGTGTAACTGTGTGGGTGTGTGCACATGTGTGAAGGTGGCCTCGGAGGCCAAGACAGGCAGTGGATCCCCTGGAGCTGGAGTTACAGGCAGTTGTGAGCCATCCAGCATGGGTACTGGGTATGAACTTGGGTCTCTTCACCACTGAGCTCTCTTTCCAGCTTCTATTTGTATTTCTTTTGAGAAGCGCTTCAGTTTTCTATTTAATGACTTGATACATATGGTCAAGTCTCTTTTATTTGTACTATTTTCTACTAACTGTGCAAGACTACCTATTAAGGCTTATCAACACTACATTTTCTTACCTTTGCAAATTTGAGAAACAAAAAAAGATTTTAATGTATGATTTGTTAAGAAGTATGATAATATCTTCCTGTTTATTTTTAACTCAGTTTTTAAAAAAATATTTTTTATTTTATTTTATGTGTATGTGTGTATTGCCTGCATGTAGGTAATTGCACCCGTGTTGTGCAATGATGCTCACAGAGGACAGAAGAGGCTGTTGGATCCCCTGGAACTGGAGTTATGGACAGTTGTTAGCTGACATGTGGGTGCTGGGATTTGAACCTGGGTCTGCTGCAAGAACAGCCAGTGTTCTTAACTGCTGAGCCATCTCTCCAGCCCCCTGAAGTAGAACATTTTAACTTCTTTTTTTTCCCTTATGTTTTCATAATATTTACCTAAAATACTCTTAATATTGATATATCAAAATTACAGTGTTAGTGGTTTATCATAGTAGAATGGACATAATATCCTAGAAATTCCTAAGTTTTGTAAGGATTGTTAAAAATTTTTAACTTATTTTCTTTCTTAGCCATGGATGTGCAAGCATTTGAAAGGCTTTTGGGACCTTGCATGGAAATTATGAAAAGGAACATTGCCACCTATGAAGAGCAATTAGTTGCCCTGTTTGGAACAAACATGGATATTGTTGAACCCACTGCATGAAGAAAAGTATGGAGCAGGGAGACCTATAGTGAAAAATTACACAGTAGTGGTTAGTCCACTGAGAATGTGTTTGTGTAGATGCCAAGCATTTTCTGTGATTTCAGGTTTTTTTCCTTTTTTTTAAAAAAAAAATTTACAGTGTATCAGTAAACAGTAGTGATTTAATAGTCAATAAGCTTTAACATCACTTTCTAATGGGTAGTTCATAAAAAAATCAACATATTCATAAAATGACTTTCTATTCCGTAAAATTATTTGACTGAAAGTTTGTATATATTGAAAGCATCCATGTTTAAGAAGATTATTAAAAGATGTTGTCATAGGCCAATCTGTGTGTTTGGATTATTCAAATATCAAATTAGTGACTATGCCCATGTAAGGAAGCTGGCAATGAATCAGGTGACCTAGCATGGCATCACATTCTTTTTATAACTCAGCATACAGTAAAATAGCAATCATTTTCATTTTCAAGTTTTTCTGGCTTGATAAGTTATGTTAGCCTTGGCCTATTGGTAAAATGGTATAAAACATCATATGCAATTTTAAAAATTTTTATATTTTTGCAATAAAGTACATTTTGACTTCTTTTGCATAATGTCAGTAGCCTACATGATCAAGTGGTTTTAAGACTTGGCAACTGAGTCATTCTGATTGGGCAGTCTTTTTAGGATGAAAGATCATTAATGTATTTTTCTTCATCAAGCATATCACTGCTTCCTTTTTTATTCTGCAGCCTCCTATATTCTCCATAAATTTGATTTTGAAGTTTAATGGCAACAAAGTTGTTTTTTTTTTTTTTTTAAGATAAGCTTACTCTGACTTTTCTTTTTTGTCTTCTAAAAGCCCAAGATCTAATATTTTTAAAAGGGAAACTTTCCTACCAAAACCCTTTTGGAATTCTTGCCCACATGCCCACAGGATATTGCTTAGTTCCTTGCATTCTGCATATGCCAGCCCTGGGCACTCATCTTTACCCATGATTTTATTATTCCGTCTTGATCACCAACCAGCAAGCTCACTGAATAGCAGCCAGTGAGATACGTTTTGTGTTTTCGCCCTTACAAACTCCACTGCATTGGTATAAATAAACCTTTATTATAAGCAAAGCCATACATAATGACAAAAGGAATTTGTCTATACCACACATAAAATTGGGCTTTACTTTTAGCTTTAAAGTCAACTTACAGTTAAAAGTATACAAAGTTTATTAGATTTTCTTTGGTCAGTGATATGCTTAATTTTCTGCCAAATAAGATGAATTGTTATACTCAACCAAAGCAATGTACTTTGACATGATGTTCAGGCCCTGTGACCAACTGTTAAGAGACATTAATTCTGACCAGGTACTCACTATTAAATGGGTAATTTCATTTTTGGGAAATATGTTTCTAAAGAATATATACATATGCATATATATGCATATGTATAGGTAAAATAAATCTGTGGCTATTGTGATCCTATTAAGAGAATGTTTTTGGTCCTACTTATTATGAATAATTAGAACGTTAACTGGGTAATGCATAAATAAGAAATTAAAGTATATAACTTCAGCCATGTTAAAATAATTGTTTGGCAAAGTCTATGTTTAAGAAAAAGGAAGCTCTCTATGAGAAGAGGACTTGTTTTTTATTTCAGATATCAAAAGCCATGTGTTAATCAAGGGAAAATACCGAAAAAGAAAAAAAAAGGCCCACCCAAATTCCTGGTTCATTCTGTATTCCTCACTTTTTCAAGTTCTCTTTTGTTGCATTGCATAAGCTGATTGTTAACTTCCATGGAACAGTAAACAAATGCCTGTTTAATAAAGAACCCTGACCAAGGCTATAAATGCCAGTTATGTTATTTTCAGTATTGTTGGTTATATTTAAAAATTCCTTATAATAAAGCACACTTTTATAATAAAAATACTGTTTTAAGCAGTTTTTTTTTCCTTCTTTAAAATTACTTGTCTAGTGTATAAATTCTGAGACGTGGACCATGGAAGCTATAACCCCTACAGCATAAAAGAGTAAGAAGAGTAAGAAAGCATGTTTTTCACGACTGTAGGTGTAAGATTTTCACTACGGATTAAAATTTTAACTTGTGGTATCTTGCACATTATTTTGGCCATTTAGATCTACAAAATAAACCTAAGTAGGGAACTTATATGTAAAATTGTGTAATTAAAAGAGATCAAATTTGGCCTGGATGTCACTGTTTAATCCCTAATGAGTCTTGCCCTCTGGGAATTTTGCTGGTTTTCATTGAAGGGCAAAGCTTCTTGCACATGGCATATTGAGTGTGGCTAAGGAAAGGTTAAAGAATCTGGGAGAAGATGCTCCTTGTGTTTTAAGTTTAAAGGGCACAGGTGTTCTTATTAGTATGAGTTAGGGCTCAACACCTGTAGTTTAACAAAACTACATGCAATGCAGGTTGATACATATATTTGGGTTTCTATTAACATTGGTTGGCATACCATTTAGAATGTTTAGTGTTTACAATGAAACAAGGACTTGGGATTTTTACTGAGAAGTGTAGGATTAAGAAACTGGCTGGGTTGTTTTCATTTTCAAAGTATCTTTCATACAGATAGACTTTTTCAAGAAACATTATAATTAGGTAACTTTTCATGGTCTTAAAACAGTAAGTACCAGGCATGGTTGCGCATGCCTTCATCCCAGCACTTGAGAGGCAGAAGCGGGTGAATCTCTGAGTTTGAAGCCAGCCTGGTTTACATAGCGAGTTCCAGGTCAGCTGGGGCTACAAGGAGACCCTGTCTAAAAAAGACACCCCCTCCCCCCAAAAAACAGTATGTAAACTTGGAGGTATTACATCTGGATATACGGATATACCAAGGCTTTATTAATAGCTGGAGGGACTTCTCATAGTTAAATAAAATGTTAACACTCAAGCAGGAGGCAGAAGGAATGCTGCCCTCTAAAATTAGTAGTGTGAGGTACAGACTAATGTAGACGATCAAAATTTTGACAAACGGGAAGAAACTGTAGTAAGAGTTCAGACAGCTTTATGTGTTCCAGAATAATCTTAAAGGGAGCTAGCAAGATTGGTTGAACAACTGCAAATAGAGAGTTGTATTCACAAGTATTAAAAAAAAAAAAAACTTCATCAGTGTAATTAATGAATTGTGAAAATGTGAGTAATCAAGAATACCGGATATTTGCAGACGACTTGAGTATCCAACAGTAATCACAAGATTACATCTGTTCCATTTGTATACCAAGATTGTGTTGTGAGTTCATGGCAGAACTCTTTGAGAACTGAGAGTTTTTGTTGTCAAAATCTTGGTCTGTGGTCCAATTAATGTCCATTACTAGTCTAGTCTCTAGAGAAATTTCTGTAAAGATGAGAGGAAAAAAGTTGACTACAAAATGTGGGTCTTTAATTTTGTATACTGTGTTACAACCCTAAACTTGTCTTAGAAATCTGTAAGCAGGATGTATTGTTCATCTATAGTAAAGTACGATGATATGTGATACAGAATTCATTGTCTATAAAAATGAAATGCTCCTGCTTGAGGATGTGATTTTTAGATTGTTTTAACCATGGCCTGAATCTTGCCATTCTCCCAAACAGAAACATGATACTGTAAAATGTGTACGTGCCAGACATGCTGGCACACGCCTTTAGTCTGAGCACTCGGGAGGCAGAGGCAAGTGGATCTCTGAATTCAAGACCAGCCTGGTCTACATAGCGAGCGCTAAAAAAGTGTATGTGTATTTTATATACACATATGTACAGTCATATACATATATCTAGTTAGCATCATTTATAATTGTTTCAATTTAACAATCATAGCATGTTAGTACATTTTTTACTCCTAATTGGAAAAATGAAAAATTACTTCTCTAGGTACAACAGAAAGTTTAAGTAACAAAATTAGGCTTTATTTCCACCCCCTGCTTCCATTTGATTCTTTTTATTAGAGGGACTGAAAACACAGCCATAGGGTAATCCTATAGTGAGGGGAACACAAATGCCCTACTGGAACCCCAACCTTATTTGATCCTAAAGAGGTGTACTTTGTGGCTTCTGCCATTTGTAAAGGAGTATACTGGAAAAGTCTACTCTTTATTAGTGTAGGAATGAAGGTATAGCAATATCCTATTCAGTCTAGAAACCCCAAAATTAAAATTTAAAAATATGAGGACCTGTGAGATAGCTCAGTGGGTAAGGTGCTTGCCACTAAGCCTGAGGACCTGAGTTCAATCCCCAGAATCCACATGGTAGAAGGAGAAAACCAACTCCCACAAGTTGTTCTCTGACTCCACTACTCTGTGACATGTGTATACCCACACACATACATGCCATGTACAACATACACACACACATACTAAATGTGCACATATCAAGCTTTGGACTACTGAGTAAGGCATTTGGGTACCAAGCTAGTAAGTTCTCTACCAGCCTTGGCTCTTGACTGCAACAACCCAGATGTGAAACCCTAATTATTTCCCTACCTACTTCTGGATTCTGGAGACCTGGACTTGCTATGAAGCCTACCTAGGCTGGCCTAGGACTCATGATCCTCCTGCTTCAGCCAAGCGGTTGATTTGCAGGCTTTCTCCTTCTTGCCTGGCCTTTTAAATTTTTCTTTTCTTTGCCGTGTTGACAATCAAACCCATACCAAGCACTATACCCCTGAGCTACATCCCCAGCCCATAACGTTTTATATTTAATGTGAGAAAGTTTTCAAAGTCGAATCCTTGAGTAATTTAGTCAAAAATCTCAGTTACTTCTGATTGTTCATTGCCCATCTCTATCCTAATTGGAAACCTACCTGGGTCTTGCTAAGCAACAAGAGAATCAACTGCATAATCCTCTTAGACTGCCATTCAATACAGTTACACTACCCCTTTCATGACTATATTCTTGAAATGTAAATGAATAATTTTTTTTTTACTTTTTTTCCCTCGAGACAGAATTTATATTGCCCAAGCTGTTCCTGAACTTTTGGCCTGAAGCAATCTTCCCACCTAACCCTCCCCAGCAGGGGAGACTACAGGCACACATCACTATTCTCTGCTAAAAATGACTTTGGAAATGAAATATTTTAAGATAGGTGTTCATTATAAGAACATTTAAGTTTTTCCTCATAACTGCTCTGTAAAGCTCTACTAGACTATCTTCAAGATTTAATATATCATGATATGCTACATAGCTTGACAGTGGTGATAAGACAAATACTCTGCCTGCATAACTGACACTGAAGGAGGCCTCAAAGAATTTAATGCAGCTGAAGATGAGACCTAAGTTCAGTATCTTATCTGAAATCCTTGGAACCAGAATTAATTACTTAAGGTTTCTGAGCTTTGGGGGTTTTAGAATATTTGCATACGTTAGCCACTGAGCATCTCTAATCTGAAAAAAAAAAATGAAATCCAGAAAGTGCTGCAGTTTGAACTGTTGAGAGCCAACAAGATGCTCAAAGGTGGAGATTTCAGAGCACGTCAGATTTTCTGGTTAGAGATGCTTAGCCTGTAATGACTGCATGGAGGAAGTGGTCCTTAAAGCACATGGAATATATTTCACAAAGTCAATGTTCAAAATAACATATGATGTACCCAATATATTAGAAATTCTGTGCTGCTTATTCCCCTAACTTTCCATTCATTTGTTTAGCAGGCCCTTATTTATCAATTGCTTATTGTGCACCAGACAAAAAGATGCTTGTAGAGATGGTGAGTGGCAGAGGAGGAGAAATGGAAGGAGGCACCAGTAATAAAAATACTAGCTCATGCCGGGAGTGGTGGTGTATGCCTTTAATCCCAGCACTCGGGAGGCAGAGGCAGGTGGATCTCTGTGAGTTCAAGGCCAGCCTGGTCTACATAGTGAGTTCCAGAACAGCTGGGGCTACAAGGAAACCCTGTCTCAAGAAAGACAAAAAAAAAAAAAAAAAAAAAAAAAAAAAATAGCACGGTGTGATGAAAGCTGTGAACATATATACTATTCTTATAAGTTTAGTCATTCATTAGATTTAATTGTCCCTAAAATGAAGTGTTTTTGGTTAGTAAATAACAATACATAAAGAACATCCAAATAGACACAAGTCAAAAATATTCTAAGAGTTTTATATTAAGCAGATCAGATAACAAGAATTATGTATCCGAGAAATTACAATGAAAGAGAACAGTTCTTTCAGCTTAAGTTCATAAAACAGAAGTGAGATGAAGTAGATAGACTACTCACATGTTCATTTGTACCAAATTGGGCAACTTTACAAAAATATTGAGAGCAAATGATATCAAAAGTAGTGGTCTCCAGCACTTGGGAGGAAAGGCAGGTGGATCTCTGTGAGTTCAAGGCCAGCCTGGTCTACATAGTGAGTTCCAGGACAGCTGGGGCTACAGGGAGATTGTCTCAGAAAGACCAAAAAAAAGTAGTAGTCCCCTCTATTTTCTGAGGATATTAAAATTTATTCCTGTATACTTGGATCTCTTCAAGTCCAGATGGTATATACAGCCATCTATAGGAGCTCTGTAATCCAATTTGTTGCCTGTGCTGCAAGCCTAGCAGCACCCACATTCCCCTAGTTCCAGTACTTAAAACTCCTCTCAGTATTCCCTGTCAATTGACAGCATCAGCATATCTGTTACATAAGCAAGAAATCCAACAATCATTCTTGCTTCCTCTTGTGTTGATTCTTCTTCCTGTTAGTTATAGTGTTAAGATACTCACATACCAGGCTGCAAAGGTTTTTATGGTTATATGAGTAAAAGCTAAGCTCATTGCATCATAAATAACAAGAGCATGAGCCATACTACTCGGTTCTAAAATGGTGCTCATTTATCTTCTAGGTATTTCTTGCATGCACTTACATAAATACTTTGAACTAATTATAACATGAACTTATTTTCAAATGCAGTAAGATCTATGGGAAGATATCTGTGTGAGTTTAAACATTCTAC